AAGAGGGAAGCCGAGGACCGTGCACTCACCGGCCTTGAGCGAAATCCCCACAAATCAAAAGAGGGAGGCCGAGGACCGTGCACTCACCGGCCTCGAGCGAAATCCCCACAAATAATAGAGGGATAGCCGAAGGACTTTGCACTCGCCGGCCTCGAGCGAAATCCCCACAAATCAAAAGAGCGAAGCCGAGGACCGTGCACTCTTCGGCCTCGAGCGCAATCCCCACAAATCAAAAGGGGGAAGGCCGAAGGACCGTGCACTCGCCGACCTCGAGCGAAATCCCCACAAATCAGGCCGCAAATTTGGCTAATTACATATCAGGGAATTTTTGAGTACTGAATTAATATTGGACGAAGCAAGACCACACAAGTACTGAGTACAAAGCAACTCCCAAAAAGACGAACACCCGAGTGAGTATCAGGTGTGGACGAGGGAGACCACTCTATGGGTGCAAGCCATGAGGCCCACACCATGAGGCTTACCATCAATACATCTAGACCAAGTCCCAGGTGTCGAGTACCTTGGCCGATGCAGAGCCACTTGGGGGAATTCGGGCCCGGTGGAAGGGCTAGATTACACATCCACCAGCCACAATTCCTGCGACGTTGACGGCTTAAGGGACAAACACCTCAGAAATATTTCAAAGTTCGCAAAGGATAAAAGAATTACAGAGACGAGGAAGATGCAACAAGACAGCATAACGAAAAAGTAAAGATGGATGAAGGAGGTAAACCGAGTTCTTTCATTAAAATCCATTCAAGTGCAAAAAGGGGGTTTACAACGGCCATTACATATATGTTGGCACATCAGCTGCTAATCTAATTAACAACGAAAACTAGAGAAGGATCAAGCTTCTTTGTCGTCGGCGCCATGAGCAGTCCCATCATCGGTTTTCTCCACCACACCCTCCGCTTCATCGGCCTTGGAGGCAGCGGTGTCCACCAATATATCATCGTCGCTCCACTGGTCCTCTTCGATGTCGGAGCTTAGGATGGGGAGCTGCCTCTCCTCCTCAAGAAGCTTGAGGTCGATCTATGGATCCTTCATCTTCCAGGGCAGCTTCTGGCCGGTGGCAAATGACTTCGTGAGCTTCAGCTCCTGGAAATGCCGGCGCAGCCTTCGGTAGATGAGCTGTTACATCCGATGCTGGCCGATGTCATAAAATATCTTCATCTCATTTTCCTAGTACTTTTGGCCAGCAGGGATGTGCTGGGCCCAGTCCTCGAGCCTGGCCGCCACAACCCCGAAGCACCAAAGTCGACGCTCCTAAGCTTTTCAGTCATCGTCCAGGAACTTCTCGATGGCGGCCTCGGTGACCCTCTCTCCAGCAACCTCATCAGCTTGCTCAGCCTCGGCCTTGGCCCTTTTGGCCTCATCAGCACGACAAAGGGCCTCCTCATGAGCCTTCTCCTCATCGGCGAGCTTCTTTAGGGCATCGTCCCTTTCAGCGAGAAACTGACGGGTGACCGCATCGGCATCATCAGCCCTCTTCTTCAAAGCCTCCACATCGGCCCGCAGCAGGTCCAGGCAGCATTTCGTTATCTAGCTAAGAGAGGTTACTTGGGATCTAAGAGAGGTTTCTAGCTAACACTAGATCACGCCCTAGGGAAGCAAAGTGTGTGAGAAAAGCCAAGAACAGGCGAGGGACTAACCTTGAAGATTTGAAGGGAGCGAGGAACACTGATGAACACTTTATCTCTCTAGAATCCGGCAGCATTTCGTTATCACAGATCGCAAATGAGGAACTCAACTCGGATAGGAGGGGTATTTATAGGCCCCTCCCCAACGGTCGCTACACGTGGCATCCTCCCAATGGCGGTACCAACGACCACGACACATGGCACCAATACAGCGGATACACCAACGGTTGCCCCCCATTGGTCCCAAACGGCGCAACCTTTCAGATCTCTTCAAGGGCCCAGACCCCTGGGCCCCTCCCCAACGGCCACTACACGTGGCATCCTCCCAATGGCAGTACAACCGGCCACGACACGTGGCACCAATGTAGTGGATGCACCAACAATTGCCCCCCATTGGTCCCAAACGGCGCAGTCCTTTCGGATCTCTTCAAGGGGCCAAACCCCTCCATCTTTTCTGGCCTCATCGGCTATGACCGAAAAAATCTCAACGACCCATCAGGTCAAGGGATGCACTCCCCCCGTAACAAGGTGCACCCATAACGGCCAAGCAAATCACCAGCAACATGGCCTCTTAACCGGCCACCAAAGCAAGGAAGGAAGGGGATGAATGACCTCTCAGTTCCGTCGTCCTCAGATCATGAACGACTCCTCAGCCTCAGCGCGATCCTTTATCTCAAGACCGGCTCCCAGCGCCGAACGTCTTGGGCAAGCGATCAGGCTCTCCATCCCTTCTAGTATGGGACCGTCACCTTCACGACGAACGGCCTCTCTGTTCCGTCATCCTCAGATCACGAACGGCTCCTCAGTCTCAACGTGATCCTTTATCTCAAGACCGGTTTCCTCAGTGTTGAACGCCTTGAGCCAGCGAATGGGCTCTCCATCCCTTCCAATATGGGCACCATCGCCTTTATGACGAACGGCCTCTCAGTTCCGTCGTCATCGGTGTAAATGGCTCCTCAGCCTCGACGTGATCCTTTATCTCAAGACCGGATTCCTCAGCACCGAACGTCTTGAGCTAGCAATCGGGCTCGCTATCCCTTGATTGTGACTATCGCCTTCATGTGACACATGGCTCATCACCACCGTCGTCCTCATATTCAGACGGGTGTCCATCGCCTCATCCTCATATTCGGGACGGTCATCAGCACTGTCCCTCATCTTCAAACGAGCGTCCCAACGCCATCCATCTTCAAACCATGGTGAAAGCCTAGTCCTTCACATGACGCATGGCTTCATCAACGCCGTCGTCATCAAGGAACATGTGTCCAGCGCCGTCCTTCATCTTCAGACCAATGTCAAAGCATGGTCCTTCATATGACGTATGACTTCATCAACGCCTTCGTCATCAGTGGACGAGCGTCCCCAGTGCCGTCCTCCATCTTCAAATCAGGGTCAAAGCCTGGTCCTTCATATGATGTACGGCTTCATCAACGCCATCGTCATCAGTGGATGAGCATCCACAGGTCCGTCCTCAATCTTCAAACCAGGGTCAAAGCCTGATCCTTCATATGACTTACGGCCTCATCAACGCCATCATCATCAAGGGATGTGCATCCAGCGTCGTCCTTCAACTTCAGACCAACTTCAAGGTTTGGCCCTTTAGCTGATGAACGGCTTCATCAACGCCATCGTCATCAAGGGACGTGCGTCCAGCGCCGTCCTTCAACTTCGGTCTAGCTTCAAGGTTTGGTCCTTTAGCTGACGAACAGCTTCATCAGTGACATCGTCATCAGGGGACGAGCGTCCAACGCCGTCCTCCATCTTCAAGCAGGCGCTCAAGCCTGGTCCATCATCATGCCGGCTCATCAGCGCCGTCCTCATCATCAGACGGGCGTCCACCGCTTCGTCTTCATATTCGGACCGGCTCATCAGCATCGTCCCCTATCTTCATACGAACGTCCCATTAGCAGACAGACAACGCTGCAGCTCCACACCCAGGCCAAAGGGTTCACCACTTTTGCTTCATTCTGAGGGCATCCGGTGTACTCTTTTTGCCTCATTAGGATTCTTTCCCACAAGGTTTTTCATAATGAGGGTTTTAACGAGGCATCTCCCCATTGTGGAGCAAAATGCGTCAACCCTCGACCCCGTGTTGAAGACATGCATTACTCTACTCCCTTTCGCCTTAAGAACTCTCGCCTCAGGTAGTGGGGGACTGGGGGACTACATCGGCCTCCAAAGCAAAGATGAAATTGAAAATCAAAAAATGCACAAGTACATACAAATGAAACGACATCGTATCGCCTACGCACCACAACGTCCACAATCGTGCGATCCATCAGCCAAAGTCAAAAGCACAAAACCATGGGCGTTCGTGGTTCACTAGGTAAGGATCTCCATCGTCTGCGCTACGAATTAAACTACCAAACAACGGACGATCCCTCCTCGGCCTGGAACACCAAAAACAATTACGGTGCCTCCTCGGCTGCGCAAGGTAACCAAAAACCGCGAAGGACAACATCATCCTCAGCCTACATGTCCCATCTCCGGCCAAGATAGGAGAACACCACAATGGCCAAAGCACGCGTGACGTCCTCAGGGGTCACACTCATCATCCTCAAAGCATAAGGACACACATATTTCAGGAATTTTCCCTTTGTACAAATCCAAGAATATCCCTTTGATTCATCACCTAAATTATGATTTTCTTGTAAATCTACTAATTTACCCTACATTACTTGATTGACAACTTTAAATTAACAATATTAATGTCCAAAAGTAAACAATTCACTCAGCCGCATAAATGACATTTTGATGTTTATTGTTGTGCATTTACTAAGAAGTTAAAATTTTGTAGATAAAATTAACGTACAACAGAGACGTATTGTGTCTATTCACAAAAAAATGTACTCTTTCAAAAGACATAAAAATAGAAATTGAGTATCATCTTTCGGGATATGTTTACAACGAGCATGCTTTTACAGTTTTACCAACAAAAACTGCTATGACCGTCAAATTCGTATACGCAATCAATCAATAATACTAACAAAATGATAAAGTTGTAAGACTTAAATATTAATGAGAATTAAATAAATGCCTCATAACCATGGATCAAACAAAATGAAAATTGAAATTAATGTATCGCGATAAGATAGTATATTGTGATAAAAAGTAGTTCCAAGAAGTGGGAAGACCAACACGTATATATATGTTTACATATAGAGTAATCTCTCCTTTAGTATTGTTCATTACTGTTTTCCATTTTTGCCTTATTTCATTTCAATTTTATTCTATTTTTCATGATTTCTCTCATTTTTATAACTTTTTGTTTTGGTGAAAAAATTATGTGTAAATGAATAGAAGTGTGATAAATATAATTATAAATGTAGTTGTGTGCATAATAACTATTGTAGCATGTGTTCTCCGTTCTTACTCCCTATGAGGATATAATTTGACCCATCCAACCGACACCCCCACCCCCCATTCCCTTCCCCCTTCCTATATATACTCCTCTTCACACTCTTTCTCTTTAGGGATTGCTGAAAACAGAAATCCCGATACCAGATTTCAAATTTATAAAAACGGCCGCCCTCCGCCGGCCGGTCACACTTCCCAAATATGCAATTCCATTTAGCATCGTCGTCGCCACCGGACACGAGCAAGACCTCCAAGCTGGATCGCTATAACAGCTACCTCAGAAAAGTCAACAATACAAGACTCCTCGCCGCCTCTTCCAAATTCCTCTTCAGAATCACTCTGTTGATTGCTCTGCTCCTGATTTTCTTCTTCACCATCAATTACCCTCCGGTTTCCGATAGCTCCGGCCACCGCCCCACCGTCCACGCAACGACCCACAATTTATTCTCATCCGCCTTCTACGGCGGCGGCGCGTCATGGGAGAAGCGGGTCCGCGCGTCCTCCACCCCCCGCCGCTCGAACGGGTTCTCTGTTCTGGTCACCGGCGCCGCCGGATTCGTCGGGTCCCACAACGCTCTGGCGCTCAAGAAGCGTGGCGATGGGGTTTTAGGGCTGGACAATTTTAACCCTTACTACGATCCTTCCCTGAAACGCGCTCGCCAGAAGCTTCTGGAGAAACACCAGATCTTCATCGTCGAGGGAGATCTCAACGACGGCGAGCTTTTGAAGAAGCTTTTCGACATTGTTCCGTTCACCCACGTGCTCCACCTGGCGGCGCAGGCCGGCGTACGGTACGCGATGGAGAATCCCCTGTCTTACGTTAGCTCCAACGTTGCCGGATTCGTGAACCTTCTGGAAGTTTCCAAAGCCGCCGATCCTCAGCCGGCGATAGTCTGGGCTTCTTCTAGCTCCGTCTACGGGCTCAACACCAACGTCCCTTTCTCCGAGGACCACCGCACTGATCAGCCGGCCAGTCTCTACGCCGCCACCAAGAAAGCCGGCGAGGAAATCGCCCACACGTATAACCACATCTATGGGCTTTCGTTAACTGGGCTGCGATTCTTCACCGTCTACGGCCCATGGGGCCGGCCCGATATGGCTTATTTTTTCTTTACCAAGGATATGATCCAGGGGAAGGCGATTAACGTGTACGTGACCCAGGACGACAAGGACGTGGCGCGTGACTTCACGTACATCGACGACGTCGTGAAGGGGTGCCTGGGGGCGCTGGACACGGCGGAGAAGAGCACCGGAAGCGGCGGCAAGAAGAAGAGGCCGGCGCAGCTGAGGGTTTACAACTTGGGGAACACGTCGCCGGTGTCGGTGCGGAAGTTAGTGGCAATTCTTGAAAATTTGTTGAACGTGAAGGCTAAAAAGAACGTGATAAAGATGCCACGAAACGGCGACGTTCCATTCACCCACGCTAACGTAAGCCTAGCCTACAGAGACTTTGGGTACAAACCGACTACGGATTTGTCAACGGGCTTGAGAAAGTTCGTCAAGTGGTACGTCAGCTATTATGGTATTCAATCGAGGGTAAAAAAGGAATTAGACGGAACAGCTCTGTAGATTTGGTCTTTTTTTTTTCTTTTTACCCTTTTCTGCTCATATTTGGGATTTCTATTCTTCCTTTCTTTTGAAAAATATTGATGATGTACTACTGTATTATTTAGTCATTTAAGATAGATATATTTATGTAACAATATGAAAAAGTGGCAAACTGTTTCATGTGAAGTAATAAAGACCGGAGGTGGAGTTTGAAAAAGGCAAGTAAATTCCTGTTCAAGTTACTCTATTAATTGAATCTGAAGAGACTATATTTATTATACTACGTATCTTTAAAAAAGTGATGGAATGTTTAAATTATTTATAAATGTCCATCTTATGAAATTTAATTGAAAATATTATTCGAAGTACTGAGGGCATCTCCATCCATACGATTATTTGAGGATTAAGTCGGTGTTGTGGCGGATTATTTTTGAGATCATGATTGAGTGATGAAGATTATTTGGTGAAATTATTTGAAAAAATGATCCTGGATTGAAATATGAATCTAGATTATCTCAAGATTATTGTGAAACTAATATTAATTGGTGATTGCGGGACTCACAAAATAATCCGTTTATCTAAGTAGCATGAATTCGAATGCTAGCGGCAAAGGCCCTTTTTATGAATATTACTAACATAAATAAGAAAGACAAAAACATGACTTGATTTTGAGTTTTCAAAAAAGTGACTAATCATGTTCTTTATTATATGTTACATTTATTATTTTAGTATTGTATTTATTATAATGAATGAAAACATAATCAACCGGCCAGCTTTCTCAAAGAGAAAAAATCAACCGGCCAACCACCAAGCCAACCCCACCGCCGCTGCAATCACCGTCGCTGCAATCACCGCTGCCATCCAGTGACTCCGCCGCACGCGGTTTCCAGTGACGCGTCACCCTGTGTTATCCAGTGACTCAACCCATTGACTAGTAACTTTATAGCCCTTACGGTGATTATGTCTTTCAGTAATTCATTCAGCGACCACCTCCTGTTATCCGCCCGATGACTACTGCCGGTAACCCACCTAGTGACTATGTCGGCCAATGATGACTCCCGCTGTCAGTCACTGTATCGAGCATTTATTGGAGCCTTAAATTGATGTTGTCCAACATCAATTAAGAAGGGGAAGAATAAAGGTTATGAGACATTGATGTCTAATGACTGGAACAAGCGGTGTTCCGCCGACACATCACCATAGGTGGACTCCCAACATAGATCCAAAGGTGAAACATGGTGATGCATAGGCACCGCCGTCATTAATGATGTTATTGTTAATAAGATCTTCAATAATGTTGATGGAGCAGTGGAGGTTAGCATTGAAGCGGTGCAGAGTAGATGGATCAATTTTGGGTTGTCGATGTGGGTTAGATAGAATCGCCGTTTTCAATGGTCGGTAGAAGAAGCAGTTGCAATTCAAGAAAGGAGGCGTGCGATTGATGTGTTGTAGAGAGAGATGATATTGATTAGGGTTGGAATATATTAGAATTGTTTATGGGTATTAATTTTTAATTAATTAGTCATAGTTTTATCTATATTAAAAGATGGTCATATTTTTGTCTAGAAGAACTCTAAGGTCATATTTTTGTCTAAAAGTAATATAGGTGCCATTATCACAAATACTTCGCAATTAATGTAAGTTGCCGTTTCATTTCTATCTTAGCTAAAATGAAATATTGATTGCCCTTTAGTTGTTATTATATCCAATTAAATACCGAGTGTTTTTGGTAACAGAAAGTTAAATATCAAGATACAAGTACTCATATTTATGTAAATAGGAGTAATTGATGTTATGTTTGGATAATATTATTGAATATATGACATTAATATTATCACATATTAATGTCAAGACATCAGATAATGTCTAAATAGGACAATAACATTTTAGGATGATAATAATTCACTTATATTTAGAGGAAAAATATTTTTAAAATTCACATTATTTTTATTACTTTTCTTGTTCTTATGATGAACTAGATCTTCCATGTGAGGATACTATTTTTCCAATTGGTTATCTTTTTTCAAGATACTATTGCAGTAATATGGAGACCGGTCGAAGTGTCACATTTAACGATATTTGATCAAGAATGTCTCTAATTTGTTTCATTAGGAGGTGGATGGGATATACTCTCTCCGCTCATAAAATTCTTATCGGTTTTACTTGGAAAGTGAGAATAAAGTGAAAATGTATGATTGTAATATACTAAAAAAGGTAAATGAATGTCAACCACATCAAACTTTTCAAAACGAAAATGAAAAGAGTTTTTTGCGACAACCCAAAAAATTACGTGAGAAGAAGTTTTTGGGACAGACAGACTACTGAGAGAGTAGTTACGAGGGACGGCTTGAGAAGGATGATCAAGGTATAAGGGTCTCTAGGACTCATGAAGTTTGGGATGCCAAGTCCATAATATACAATTAGGGTTCATGAAGTTATGTGTGGCGAAGGGAATTGAGAATTCATTGGCACATTTATGTGAGAGTAAAAATTGCCAAATTTTTACATGTTGTATGGATTATTTGGTCAAGTAGACAAGTTATGTCCATTGTTTTTTGAGGGAAAGTTATGTCCATTGTTGATGAAATTACTTTGTTTGATTATTGTTTAAAAGTAGTGCTATTTTTAAATAAGAACTTTGAGCCGTGATAAAAGTAGTATATTCAACCATATAATATTATTGTTCTTACTAAGAATATAAATATAGCATGGGTAGATCCATAATTCAGTGGGCACATACCCCTCCAATAAATTAAAATCTTATAATATAATAAAAGCATGGAAAATATGTAATATTTTATAGTGAAATAAATTGCTTCAATAAATAATTTCTCGCCTCTAGTAACTTTACCTCTTCTGTCACAAAATAGCAATATATATTTATGACTGGGAATTAGTATCAAATATATTTATTTGAAATGAATAAATTTTATGACAGATAAATATGAAAAAATTGAAAATCGAACATTTATAAAAGTTATGCATAAATTGTCCTAAATAGAAGTAAAGATAATGTAGAATTTCAAAAATATGAATTTTGTCATATTCCTTGGATAGAAGTAATAACTGTCATATTTGCAAAAAATGGTCAATTACAGTATGATATTATATTAGTATAGGGTTTAATGCACTAAAGCCACATGTGATACAGAAATTTAGCGATGTGCGGTTAAAAAAATTGTGCCAAACCTCTTATGTTATAATTAATTATGTGCAGAATTCGTTCTATGAAAAAATAGAGCTGTCAAATAAAAGAAAAATAATTAATATTTTTGTATAATTTAGATCAGAGACTTTGAAAAATTTACTTGTATATTCAATCATAATATTGAAAAACTGATTTCTAAATTTTTAAGTTTGTTCATAAAAAGGGTTCCGCACATGAATAATTATAACATATAGGGTTTGACGCATTTTTTAAATCACATATGACTAATGCGATCAGGTTTGATCATTAAAACCCATATTGTCATATTAATGTATGATAATGTTAAAATAAAACGTAAAGTTTCAGAATGATAATAAATTACTCATATTTAAAGAAAGAATATAATACTTGTATTTTAGAATTTTTTGTTATTTTTTTGTGTTTCAGAATTTCTAGAAATAATAACATTTATATCTTTCGAAGTCAAAAAACAGAAAAGGAAGGCCAGGAGAGAGTATAATTAAACGAAAGATGTAACAATAAGATAAGCTTTTGGCGATGATTTAGAGCCCGTTTGATAATAATCAAATCGGCTGTATTGGCTGATTTTGCTGAAATTTATGAAGTTCTTGCTGATGTAGCTGTATTGGTTTATTCTGCAGATTTGTGAAAAATAATAATTTAAAATACATTTGATAAATAAAATAAAGAAAAAATTATATGAAATAATAGCTAAAATGGCCCTCTACAATAACGAACTTCAGTCAATACAGCCAGAAAAGTAACTTCAACCTTACATTTTCTTATTATTACACAATTCAGCTCGTAAAATCAAAAGTTACGTGGTGAAAAAGTTAGCTTATAAGTCTGAAAAGCCAAAAATCATGGCTACCAAACGGGCACTTAATTAGACGATAGACTTGGAGAGCCGATAAGGCTGCATTTTTGTATGAAATATCAATTACAAAAAATGACAACTTACAAGGGTCTTACTCTCATATATGTTTAAATTAAAAGCCTAGACTCTTTTTTAGTTTATTAATCTTATGAGTAATTTTTTTTAAAATATTTAATTTTTAATTTGACACGTTGAATTACTTTTCTGATCGATTCGACTAGAGTTACCTCAGAACACCATCATAGATATTTTCATATGACTTTTTCTTTTTTATTAATAAATGTGTTTTAAATACGGAGTACATTATTTCCACAACTCAATAGTTTCAACCATTCACCTGTTTCAACTACAAATTCACCAATTTAAGCAATTTTAATGCACCCTAACGAACTATAGATGTGAGTTTGCGCATACATGGTTGCTATTATAACATATATTTGTTGCAAGTTTAGCATCTTAATGAGACAATGAGTCACGTGGACAAAGGCTCAATCAAAACAATGCCGGTACAAAGATTAAAAAAGGTAAGATACATTTTTGAACTAATATCGAAACATTTTTTAAATTTGAGATGGATCGAGTTCACTCTTTAACTCCGCCCAATTCTTAATTTTCATAACCATGTGCGTAAGCCCTATCTTAAAGCAACAAAAGGTGGATTGTGTTGTTGGTAATTATTTTTCTTACATTTTGGTAAAAGCTTGGGACAATGATAAAGAGAGCTCTAAAACATCATTAACATGTATGTGTAGTTGTGCACTATGAATGCGGACATCAATTACATTAGTCGTGGCATAACATAGTTAGCCAACATATATCCTGTAGTTTTTTGCAATATGCCTCTCTCATTATTAGTTTGTTTCCCTACTCCACCGAAAAGAATGAGGATGATTGACTTATTTCTGCTAAAGTTAAGAATACAATTGTGTTCGATAAATGCTACTTAAATTTTGCTCTATGGATATTTATTTTTAGTAAAATTTTAGACATAAATTACTATTCAAAATTTATTGGGTTAAATACTTATATTGCTATATTGGTATTGAGTTATTGACAATTTGACATATTCTTGGGAGTATGTATTGGATGAATAAGCATACTCGATCGGGTATATATTTATACCCGATCGGGTAGACCTGTGGAAAATAGCCTGAAACCGATCGAGTATACCTCGAATCGGGTATTACACACATACTCGATCGGGTATTACACACATACTCACCTCACGATCGGTTTCAGACTATTTTCCA